CAGTCTTAGAGAAGTAGGATATTAATCATGATGTGGATAACAGTGTGAATTAAAACAAAAATAGAACAAAATATTATAAAGAAAGAAGGACAGCTGGTCTGATAATAATAACATAAAATCTACCTATATGCAGTTTTATCTTTAGGCTTGTCAAGCAATTAAAAAGTTTTCAGTTGCTTGGTTACTTTTAACTACTCACTTCAATTAAAGTGACTTATTTTCAAATTGTATTCATATTATTTTTAAAGAGATTGTAATTTAATACGAAAAGTTAACATTTATGGTAGGGAGAGTAAGGAGCTTCACTAATATCAAGAAATAATCAAGTATTGTACCCTGCTAAAGCTAACTCCTAATTCTTAGAACCTTAATTTACTTTTTTGATACATATAACCAGATAACTAGAATTCCATCTCTTGATAGCATCTAAAACAAAGATGAAATAAATGGCTCACTTTTGTTAATTAATTGCATTTTTTTACAATAGTAATGTAACTAATGGATATAGTTTTTAAACATTTTTATAAATTAAATAATATGGTTCTAAACATATTTATATTATTTGGCCTGATGACTTTCAAAGTTTTGTAAGAGTTCTGGTCTGCTATGATTGCATTGTCCCATGCCGTATTAATTTTATAATGGCATGGGGCCAGAGAGTACCACTTCTTGATTACATCCTCCCATTCCATGAAATCCAACAGATGGGTGTATGTAATAGGTCCCATCTAATAAGGAGTTTTGGGAACCAGGATGATAGCCTTTTTGTGCCATGGAACTTGCGTTCTGGATCATTCCCCTGAGTTGGGTTGCCTCTGCCCAACTGGCCTTTTAGAAGATGCTGGAGACATGATTTTGCCATCAGGTTGGGGATCCCATGGAGATATGGAGTCTGTGAGATGTTCGTAACCTGCTGCTTGGTACTCTCAGATATTCTGTTTTATGTTTGTTTTAATTTGTTTTTAATGTTATTTATTTATTTAGAAAATTTATATGACTTACATTTAATTTTTTTGTTGGACTTTGGTTAGGGTAGTTTATTACATGTGTTTTGATTTTTGCTACTTTAACTGTGGGCTGCGAGAGTCACACATGTGAGATCGGCAGCTAAATAAATTGAACACATAAAATAAAATTCATTTGGCAAAGTTACTATATATAACTTTGATAATCAGTGTTCTTGTTCAGTCTTAAGCCAAACGTTGACTTGGCCTCCTTCTGCCTCATGTGCTCTTTCTCCGCTTTCTGGCATATTGTAAAGACGAGATTAATAGCTTTCATTTGCCAATTAATTTTATTTTTAGCCACTGTTAATTGCTCTTCTTGGACTTGATATTATAATACATTGTATTTTAAAGTGTCCCAAAGGCCACGTATACTCCCCTTAACCCCCATTTTGTCATCTTTAGAGCATTCCAAGAGAGTATTGCTGAAATTCTGCAAGAAACTCTACGAACATGAGTTTGGGGCTTTTGTTAGAGGCAAGGGGAGTAAAAATATCCAAAATAGGTGCCCATTTTTCACTTTTAGCACATCTCCCAACAATAGAAAAATGGGGGGGGGGGGGTGAAAGGGGGAAAAATTATCGCATTCCTTGATGAGTCTCTAGGAATGTCTTCTTGGTTTCCAGGCTGAAAAGCATTGCCCACCTCTGATGTGTATGTGATCTGCCCTTGTTCAATATCAGTCATTCACAGGATGAGGGAAGAAAGGAAGTCACAAATCTAAGTTGAAGACTGCTTGGAAAAAAATGGATAACTATTTTTTTTTTTTAATAAGACAAATGTGCCAGGATATTTCTTGCCTTTACTTGTCAGGTTTCTCCTCATGTTACTTTTCAGTGAAATTGAGTTTGAATGAAAGACGTGATAGAATATCAATTTTGATTTCAGCTGACATTATACCAGAGAAGTCTGGTCTTATTATGGTCATATCCAGCTAATCCAGATAGATAGCAAATCCTTTGGGTCAATTCTTTGTACTAATGTTTATTCCCTTGCTGGCAGGAAGCTAAATCTGTGGTTTAAGTTTTGGTCCTCTCTGCAAATACTTTTTTGAGTATATTGAACAACCATTACCACAGATACTTTATTGCCTGGCAGAATTAATAAAGATGTTAACAATTATATCAGAATAACACAGGCCAGCCAAGAAGACAAGTGGTAGCTCCCTTGATCCTCCATGAATAAAGTATTAAACACAATCATGGGTTTTCCTTGCTGAATTTGTCCTTTAGATTTGGTCTATATCATCTGCATGATACTGATCTGGGTCACTCAAACTGGCACTATACATTTCTAAAGCAGTAATGATTATTTCTGATCATACCTACATATCTTCTTCAGGTTGGTTCTTTTGACATTCATAACGGAACAGAGAAATTTTACCTATCCCTCTTTCTGACTCTTTGGTTGTACAGGGGCCCTCTTCCTGTGAGATGATGTAATCCAGATGGTATTACTCAACTTAAACATCACTTTAAATTAAGTTCTAACTTCGAGAACATTATTGCTTTATTAAATAACTAGCAGATGCTGAATCAAAGAGACCTCATATTGCAACTCAACTGAAATATGTATCTAATTTTCAGCATAATCAATCATGTGCATTATGCTCAGGTGACCATTATATGACAGCCCAAAAAGATCAATATAAAAAAGGGATGGCTTGATCATGACTATAGGTTTCAGTGACAAGCTTTGAGAAAGATTAAAAGTAGAGTTAGGAAGGATAAATGTAACCCTCTAATTCAGCTATTAATCCAATTTTAATTCCAACATAAATAATTATTAAAATCCAAACAGTTCTTATGTAGCTCAATAAAGTGGACTTTGTCTTCAGCATAATCCCCCCCCCCCCAAAAAAAATGAGAAAAAAATTCAAGAATTTGTTGACTAATAGCCTGCATATGTATTAAATAGCACTTTATCAACAACAGCTAACAAAGAACTCAATACATTACCAGAGTGGTCACCTGTCTCAAACTAAAATGCAGGTAGATTATAGCATTAGCTCTTGAAAAGTCCCTGGAGAATATATGATATACCCAGAGGTATATAAGCAGAATCTCCACTGGTGAGTCCCTATTCTAACTAAACACTCTTAAGAAATAGGCAAAACATGTTAGATCTAATAATTGAAAATTGAAAGGATTATGTCCCAATTTTTAAAAAGACAGCAGGCAATACTTTCTAGCCTTTTTGGACATACTCCAAACTTTAGCCTAACATCTTCTGAATAAACTAGAGGATTAGGAGGAATTAAGAAGCTGTATACATCTGGAACAGGTAGGATTTCATAAAATCCAGAGCACATAAATCACTATGTCACTTTGAAGGTCTTAATTCAACAGTATATCAGTGGATTCAGAAAACAACTTTATGTTGCATTGGTTGATTTCACCTTTGTCTTTGATTTAATAGATATACCTTGATCTTTCATAATTCATTCATTCAATTTCTGCAGTTGCCCATCTCAAACAAATGACTCTGGTAAACAATCATAAAGTCAATTAAAACCAAATACAAACTCAATACATACATACATATTTTAAAAATCATAATTACAGATATTAATATAACCAGGAAATAGTGCCCTTACATGCACTGTTATAGGTAATAGGATTATTACTTTAACTTGCAATTTCCTTGTTTAGGGTACCCATTCTTAATGTTAAACCAAAGGATTTGTTTTAAATACTTGAATACTTTTATTGCTTCTTGACTCTATTATTTGTTTTATAACTGATGTAATATATGCTTTTCCATCCAAATATTTTCTGCCTTCCAATGATAGAGATTTGGGGTATTCTATAAACTTTTTTTTAACTTTTGGAGAGCTTCAACGTAGCAAATTGAATTGCTGAGTTGAGCATAAAGATACTGGCGATAATAAAGGATCAGTTAGCATATTGGAAGAATCCAGATTCCATTGGGTCATAATTTCAGATATATTTCCTTACCTAAATAAAAAAAAAAAGACCACAGGCAGGTAAAAAATGCAGCAGAAATGGAATGGAAGCAACTCCTGCCAGCAAGAAGTTACAGGTTCAAGGCCAGCAGGCATGTGGGGCAGGGAGTGAGAAGTACATGAGTGTATAAGAGGTAGCACTTACGTTGGAGGGGTGGCATTGGTTGGGAAAGATATATGTGGGTGCCATGAGGTATGACACAGGTCAGAGAAGGTGCACATGGATAAGTTTGTGGGGATGTGCAAGAGGTGCCACACCAGCTGGAGAGGCAGGATGATGTGGGACAGGAAGGGGATTCTTTCCTGTTTTCCCTCCTTTCCCTTCTCAACATGCATACTGCTGGGTAGGAGAAGCAGAGAACGAGGAATTGCATGAGTGGTTGTAAAACTCACAGAATGGTGAAAATGAAGATTTTTAGTAGCAGCCTGGCAGCACAGAAATAGCTTAACTTTCCCAAGGGAGGATTGATTGATTGATTGATCGACTGATCAATCGATTGATTGATTAATCTGTCAATCAGATTTTTACACTGCCCATCTCACCTAAGTATCTCTGGGCTTTGGAATCCAGGCATTCTAAGTTTGCTTGTTTGAAGTACCTTTGTTGACAAAAGTTTTTTTCTATGATGTACCAGTTAAAGGTTACAGATACACACAAGAGTCTTATTATACATAGATTACAAAATTATGGTTAAATTCAATCGTTTTTCATTCTGTTACATAATAAAAGTTGCCTGTTTAGTTTGTTCCAGTAGTCAGTGATGGAATTCAGTTGAAGCACCTTTAAATTTGAATTTCTCACTTATTTCCCATGTTCACAGATCTCAGTGATTTCATGGATGTCAGATGGTTTGAAATATTATGACACCAACTGGTGGTGTTCCCAAACTATGCAGGCACAGCTTCTCAAATGTTATGTCAAATTCTACACATCTCTTGAATGCTGGAAACAACCATATCTGATTGTTAAGGCAAACAGCATCCAATTTACTTGGTTTACATAATACTTAATAGTTTTTCTTCTTTTGCAGGAGTCCAATGTATTGATTGCTGCTAACAGTCAGGGTACAATTAAGGTGAGTTTTAAAATGTTGACGGGGATAGCAACAAGGTTACAGAAAATTGGAAGAGACTTTTCTAGGAATTCCATTTTTTTACAGCTGTTTATAAATTAAAATTATTTATTTGCATCTACTGAGGAGATGGGAATATTGTCAGCTGCAAATTGGTGCTGTCCAATTAGGAAAAAATGTGGAATGTAATGTGTCTAGCAGGCAGTAGTTTTAACGGTATGTATAGAAAACAAAAGCTGCAACTAAAATATTATACACTCCATAATCAAAAGAATGAAGTGATGCTTAAGTTTGTGAACCTTTTTAAATGTTCAAATTTCAGTGTAAATATGATCTATTCTCCACACAAGTTCCAAAAGTAGATCAAAAGAATTCAATTAAAACAAATGAATCAAAAACATTCCACTTCTTTTATTTATTAAGAGAAATATCCAAAGCTACATATTTGTGTATGGCGAAAGTATGTGAACCTTTGCTTTTAGTAACTGGTGTGCCACTCTTGGGCAGAAATAACTGCAACTAAGCATTCCTGAAAACTGTTGATCAGTCCTACACATTGATTTGGAGCAGGGCTGTCAAGCTCCCGGTCTGTGGACTGGATGCATCATACACTGGCCATCCCCACACCCAGTTTAGCGAAGGGGGGAAAAGTCCCAATACGTGATGCTGCCGTAACAACCCCTGACTTGGAGGAACATTAGCCCGTTCCTCCTTACAAAACGCCTTTAACTCAGGGATGTTGGTGTACTTCCTTGCATGAACTGCCCACTTCAGGTCCTTCCACAACATTTCTATAGGATTAAAGTCAGGACTATAACTTGTCGGCTCCAAAACATTACCTTTCTTCTGGTTTAACTATTCTTTAATCAAATGACTTGTACTTTGGGGGTTGTCTTGGTGCGTGACCCACATTCTTTTGAGCTTTTGTTCATGGGCAGATAGCCTGTTGTTTTCCTGTAAAATACTTGTGCATTTCAAAATTCAGAGTTCCATCAATGATAGAAAACTCTCTTGGTTCAGAGACAGCAAAACAAGCACAAACAACGGTATAGCCACCACTATGTTTCACAACATATTTGTTACACATGAATATATAGCTTTGGATCATTTATTTGCCTTAATGAATCAATGAATAAGCATAACATTTTTCACACATTTGTATAATTGGTGTGGCTTGTTTATCTAGTTCTGAGAACACATAGCATCTTATGCAGAAATATTGAAAATTCAAAAAGATTCACAAACTTTTAAGCATCCCTATCACTGTTTGATTTCATATGAGATGTTTTTTATTGTCTCTCCAGGTAGCACTCATAAAAAGCTCAAATTTTCTGGCCTTCATGAAAAGGATTGGGAATGTTTAGAATCTCCCTTTGGTCATTAAATGAGCGAAAATTAAATTTGTTATCTTCTCTCTTTGAACCTTATATATACCTCAATAGCAGCACTTTGAACATTGAAGTTATTTTATTTTACCAATTTACCCATCAATATTTTATAACATCAACTATCAAAATATCATGACAATTTACAATAAAAACAAAGTCACGGTTGTCATTTCTAAATTAAGTGTTAAAAATTAAACTAAGGCAATTAGCAATTAAATGCCTATTCAAAATTTTTAAATTTTTCTCAGGAGATCTGTTCCATTAATTCTACATTGCATAGAGTCTTAGCGAATTGGAAGAATTCATAAATAATGCAGACATTTTAGGAGTTTTGACAGCCTCCTAACAACCCAAAACAATACACTACTAGTTTAAAGGTACAATATATACACAAAAAATAGTGAATATCCTATTTTGGTTATAATCCTCCCACTTGTACAAGAAACAGTGCTTAGAAATGTACTGATATTACTTCCTGTGGAGGAAATAATTTCACAGTGCACCTAGCTGGTCAGCTCTGTCAGTTATTTAAACTGCCAAGACCCTCTCAATCTAATTATTTCCCCCTTTTTCCACTACATTATTCAGTTCAGTTGTTAGAATCAGAAACTCTGTGGCCAGACTCAGAAAGTTAACTGAAGACACAGCGAGAACTGCTCAATTAAAGTAGAAATCCAGCATGGTTGGTATATTTACAAATTGCTGGAAGAATAAAAAGAGATCTTAAGAAAAAAAGAGGGACCTTGAGAAAAACGATAGAATTCAAACATTTATACAAAATCAAGGTCACCTGTTAGGATATATACTGTGTATAAATTTTTACTGAATTACAGTATGGAAAAGGAACAAATTAAGCATTATGTTAAAATGGATGCACATTTTTTAAAAAGTAGTCACAGTACACTAATGAGAAATGCTATGGAAAAAAAATCAATGTAATTTACTTCCTGATACAGCTTAAGAGAAAATTAGGATAAAATATTTATAGGTATACTGATGGTATTATCTAGTTTGATAGTAAAACGTCTGCAAAAAAAACAGCCAAGTTCAGAAAGCACCAAGGATAGTATATAACTCCATTAGTAATTACCAAGATAGACAAATCCTATAACAATAAATGTTGGAAATGGGAGAATTGGTAAGGAATATTCCATCATGCATGGTGGTCTTGTAAACCTCAGAAGTACTAAAAAGAAATACATCAAAATATTCAGAAAATTCTACAAATAAAATTTGAATGGAAATCACAAATATTTTTTAATTATAATATTCCAAAGTAGATGAAAAAATATAATTTGATACAGTACATGCTGATAACTTCCAAAATACATTTGGCACAGCATTGGAAAATTTAAATTTTGTTTACAATACAAGATTGGGAGACTAAAACGGGAGAATATGACAAGTAGCAATGACAAGGGATAGAAGTTAAGATAGAAGTTTAATTAAATTTAAGCAGGTATGGCTCCCTATATACTACGTATTACACAGCAAGGCATATCCAGACATTTGAAATATGGGATCTAGGAAAAGAGTCTTGAGACCAATTAAAAGCAATAGAGGAAATCAACAAATGCTAGCAATAATAATGAAATGGACCACATTTAATGTAAAGTGCAAATATTTAGGTTGTAATTAGCAGTTAGGGAAATAATTGGGAGGGAAGGGAATAATACATCATTAAACTTTTCCACAAAAGTTTTTACTTATGTTTTATTATTGGCTGTTGGTTTGAGTTTTTGTATCTTTATTCTTGTTGTATTTTTCTTTAAAAGTTGCTATAAATGAATAAAACGGAATTCAGACTCCAGGGCTAGCAAATTACTGAACATGTATTTGCTGATTTGTACATACTGGGTGATTTTTCTGACAGCTGGGGCTGAGCAAGAGCTTGACCCCCCCCCCCCCCAGTAGTGAAGCATCATAGCCCCATATCTCTGTGCCATGCTCTTCACAGTGAAAAACAGCTTCTCGCAAGTGTATCCTCACCCATCTGGCAGACCTCCAGATGTGAACATGGGATAGATGAGCAACACCTTTTCAATGATACACCCATGAAAGATGTGAAAGATGAATGTTCTAGGTAGTCCTCGACTTACAACCACAACTGAGCCCAAAATTTCTGTTGCTAAGTCAGATAGATGTTAAGTGAGTTCATTTTATGAACTTTATTACCACAGTTATTAAGTGAATCGCTACAGTTGTTAAGTGAATCTGGCTTCCCTATTGACTTTGCTTGTCAGAAAGTAGCAAAAGTTTATCACATGACCCCGGGACACTGCAACCGTCATAAATATGGGCCAGTTGCCAGACGTCTTTAATGTTGGTCATGTGACCATGGGGATGTTGCAATGGGCTGTGAAAAACAGTCATAAGTTACTTTTTCCAATGCCGTTGTAATTTCAAATGGTCACTAAACAAATAGTTGTAAATCAAGGACAACCAGTACTGTTTTCAAACTCTCCGTAGCAGTGGAGAGGAGGAAAACAAGGAAGAAGAATGGGAAATGGCGCTGAATGAAGGAGAGATGCCCAATCTCTTTTTTATATGGCATACTACTAGACACTTCTTTCAGGACCAATCACACAGGACAGGAATTGTAGATGAGAAAAAAGCCCTGAAAATTTCCCCACAAATACTCAAAAAAATCTGCAACATTTTAGGCCTGAAGGAACCAGAACTGTTCTTTCCTATGGATCTCTTGTTGGATTTACTGGCAGTAGAGATAGTCCTGGTATCTAACAGTTCTACCATATACTTTCCTTTTCTTGACACATTTAAGTTCCTCAGATCTGAGTTGAGAGTCCAAAACAGCAAAGGTTAACATCTCCCTAGCTGTTATACTTTCTTGCAGTCAGTATTAGTTTTCCATAACTTCTCTTTAATAGATAATGTTGTGGCAGCACTGATCTGAGAGGCCATTCTGAATAATGACAAGAAAGTTGGCCGATCCTTGGGACAGCTATCACAACTTACAATCCAAGAGCAAAGCGAACTCAGAAGGAAGAAAGCGGCCAAGGCTGTTGCCGTCATGGCAGATGCAAGCTTAAACAGTGTCTAGTTCTCACCATGACAGTTAGCATAGATTATGAATACGCTGGTCTGTTATAGAAAATGATATCTTGGGTTTATATAGGGATCTGTTTTCTCCAGTCCACCTAGGTTTTACCAACAAAATTACACTGCACCCTTATGCCTATGTTTCCTGTGGCAGGAGTTGTTTGTTTGCTTGGTTGTTTTTTTTGCTCTTTCTGGCTTGTTGTTCTAAATTTGGGGAAAGGGGTTATCTCCTCCAGAGGAAGAATCATCTGAACGTTTCTAGGGCTTGCTTCCAGAGAGAGAGAGAGGGATATACCCATTATAAAATGCCATTCTCTCTTGTAGTAATACAGATTCACGGTAAATTCGAGATATTGTTAGCTACACATATTACACTTAGGTAACTTCATCTCTTTGATTCTACCTTCTTTGTTGTTCTTATCAGATAGATTGGTAATAGACTTTCGATTCTGCAAATGTTTCCTCCAATACAACATTTCAGGTCAATAAAACTGAGTCAGTTATTTCTATTTTCTATCTATCGTTGCTCTGAAAAGAATAAGTCTTGAGTTGGAAAACAAACGGATCTATTTTACATTAGCTGGGATAAATTATGGAGCAAGTTTGAAACTGAACGAACTTTCTGATTTCTCGTGACTTGCTGCAAATCAGTTTCAAATAAAGCTGATTTCAAAATGAAGCTGCTTTAATGTCCCCATCCCTTGCTTTTGAGGGATTTCATGTTCAGAAGTGATATATTCTGAGTTGCTTTCCATATCAATGCTGGAATGATGGTTATTAACTTAAAACTTTTGACATTGAAACCACCCCATTAAGCCTGAAGTTACACGTAGAAGAATCAGCTATGAAATGATTACTCTGCCATTTTAGATACAAGAGTCCTTTGACACTGGCTCATAAGAGAGCTCCCTATTCTATTGAATTGGAGCCTAAGGGTGGTGAAAAAGGCACCTTTTGGTTTTAAAATAAAACTAAGGTCAGCCACTTTGCTTTTTTCAGTTTTCACATAAAGCTGAGTATAGTATTATAAGTAGTTTTAATATTAAATACAGTGCTGCTCTGTCGCTTTGTTTGTGATATTTAGTAACCGAGCAAGAGGTAAGAGCAATTAAGCATCAGTTATAATGCACAAAGGAGATTGTGTTCTACTCACCAACTTTACATATGTTCCTTTGATAGGATATAACTATCATCCTTTATATTTTCAGGCATATAAAGAAAAGTCCCAGCTGCCTGTAGCACATCTAACCTTGATTAGGAGAGAAGGGCTATTTTGTGTTTCTGGGGCTAATTTTTCCCCTCTTTTTTCCCCCACCAGGTACTGGAACTGGTATGAAAGGTTTTCTCTCTCTCTCAAGGAGTGGAATACTTGATACAGCTTTCGTCTGAGGTTCTCAGTGGGACACAAAATGAAGATAATTTGCTCTTCCTTCTCAGAGTGTGGTCACATTTTGGGGGTGGGAGTTTTTTTTTTTTTTTCTTTTATGGATGCCCTTAGGGCAATTTGGGACTCTGGGACGTACAGTGGATTCAGAATTCCGAACCATCAACATTAACTGCACAGACTCACTGCTGCTGATTCTATTGCTTCTCTGATGTTTATGATGGGGTGGGAGGAATGGATGGATTCTTTTAAATAAAAGCAGGTGCTGATGCAGAAAAGGAATGGTGAACATTCATTGAGCTAGACATAGAAACAATGTCCCTTTGTTGATAGGCATGGTAACAGATTTGCCTTGTTGAATGATTTCTGTGAGAGCTATGCTTTGAGCCATGTTCTGGATTATTCCTACTGGTCTTTTTTCTGTTTAGTTCAAAAAATCTGGTAAGCTGTCTAATCCTGACTGGAACATTGTGAGCATGCATCTGACTTGAGACCCTCAAGTGAAATTTCATTTCGTATTTGTTTTTGTTTTTTTAAATGATATGTTTGGGCCATTTTTTACTATTCAACTATTGAAGCTCTCTGTACGACTAACTAGTGCAAACTCTCCGGTCTGAGAGAGGGCATGTAAGCAATTTTATTTTCAAGCCCATCTGTTCCTTCACCAGCTCTCATGCCTGCCAGCTATATAAGGATCTCATCTGTGATGTAGACATGTGTTGAATGAGAGCAGATGTGACACGACATAGTTATCCCTATACAAGCCACTAAATTGTCAGTAACTAATGACTTTCTGTCTCTTCTGATTTGAGTGGCTATTGAAATTGCTTCACGAAAGGCAACAGTGCCTATCCACACATTACTGTCCCCAATTTGTTCATTCCAATCATCTCACTATTTGTGTCATTTGTAAAAGCGAAGCATTTTGAATGTTGTAATATATTTTGGGACAGGCTTTGGTAGCCTTATTTTTTGAATAAACATTCATATTCTTAATTGTACAAGTGAATGGGAAATAAAGTGATTCCAAATATTTCACATTGTTAGTTTGTCTTCCCAAAGTAAGACTTGTTTGGGGGAAAGGAAGCGGGCTTCTTAGTTGTGATGGCAATACTATTTCCTTTACATGGAAAAATTTGCCTACATATTAAGGGAAGAAATATGAACTGAAGACAGAGCCAACAACTGATGGAAGGAAGATCCATCAAGTACAGTGGCTTTTTGTTATTCCTTGCTAAAATGGATTTCAAAAAGGACTTTAGATCACCCACAAGTGCTCCAGTAAATTTCTCCTTATAAAGATACAAAGTCAGTAATCTCCAGTATGCTTATAGCTCTGGGAGCATGAGGTAATATTCATCTTGCTCACACCACAGCCAGCACCTTTAAGAGCTAAGTTTGGGAATTTCTTATTCTAACTTTCAGAAATTGCTTGTTGACTGCTTTTCAACTATTAAGCAGGCTTAGCTTGACTAGTCTGAAAACACTGGGTGAATTCCTTCAATCCTTTGTGAAAGAAATTTTAAATACAAGTTTATGTGCCTTTTTTTAGTATAAACAGCAAAGGGTGGAAAATTACAAATGAACTAAGGGTCCAGATAGATTTGAAATAAGATTTTGGGATAAGAACCCTTCATGTAGGAAAATACTGTATTTATTGCAGTATCCCAAGATCATGTGACCTGACAAAATCAATGGGGAAGCCAGATTCATTTAACAAACATGTTACAAACTTAACTTCAGTGATTTACTTAACAACTGTGGGAAGAAAGGTCATAAAATGGGGCAAAATTTACTTAATTATCATCTTGCTTCACAATATAATTTTTGGACTCAAGTGTGGTCATAAATTGAGGACTACCTTTATTATTTGATTTAAATGGACAAAAGCAACTCTGAGCAGCTTACAATTGGACAGAAGCAGAACAACAAAGAAGCTAAAAGCAAAATAGAACAAATACTCAGAACCAAAAATATAGAGAGAATAAAACAATAATAGAATAATCAAGGCCAGATCACTACATTATCCATTTCAAAAAAACATGATTGATAGATTTACCTTATGTTCTCCACCAATGTCTTCAAAAAGCCAGCAGGGTTGAGGCCATCCAAACCTTGGGGGAATGATACTCCATGGGTAAGGCATACTTCCTAAGTTCCAGTGGATGACATTCTTTTATAGAAAAAACCCAAAGCAAGGGTACCCTGCTGGATTTCATGGGATGATCAAAGGAAATGGAAACAGGTGGATCCACAAATAACTCATCCCTGTGCCATGAAGAGCTTTATAGGTGTTCATTTTCTCTGGGGCCCTGGTATTGTGGGTGAGCCTTTTTTTTGGCTGCAATGATTGTGTATGTTTGCTATGCATTGTTATTTTATGTTGTATGTTGTTTATTGTTTTTAATTGGAATGCATTTGAGATGGATGATCACATAAATTGAACGAGTGAAAACATGAATGAATAAAATTAAATATGACCACATAATGTCCCAGAAATCTTTATAAATACCCCTAAACTTGATTCACTTGCTCCTTGAAGGGCTTAGCAACTTTTATAACAAAACAGACAAAGGAATAAGGAATGAGAAAGTTGCATAGTGTTCTGAGGCAGATCCTCAAATGAAATGGAAAGTGGCTATATTTTCAAATATTTCATTTCTCTGCCAAGCTACATTCAAATTGCCAAGCTTTAATTAGAAATTTAGAACTCCCTGAACAAAGTGACAAAAGAAATTGGAAGTAGCTAGTTCTGTATTTACAGCCACTTAATTCATTTTCTTATAGGTAAAGTCGTCTATGTATATTCCAGGTGCTGAATTTAAGGTTCTTTCAGTAGCTTCTTTTGTCCCATCATTGCCTGAATAACATCTTTTATTTTCTCCATATATTAGTTCTATGAACATTGATTCTAAATTTGGTCTATTTTTCAATGACAACATGCAAACTACTGTACCAATATGCAGAGATATTGAGTACAGCTATGTTTTACTGCAAAATTAAAACCAAAGTCAATATAGTGGATGTTGATGAACAAATTACCAAATAATTTTTCAAGCATTGTTCCCATAATATTCATAGCCCTTGGAGCTAATTGATTGCCAGTGCTTTAAGCTCTTTTTAGAGGTGGATCATGAAAATTGATTGATTCTTCTCAATTCTTAGCTATAAGGCAGGGGTGTCCAACCTTGGCAACTTTAAGACTTGTGGACTTCAACTCCCAGAATTCCTCAGCCAGC